GGGAGAACACAATGAAAAAGACAGAAATAGAATGACTTTGGCCAGAAAAAGAAACAAAAGCATGTAGGCATCCCCACTATTTGAACAGGACAACTGACAATATACACAAAGTTGCAATAGATTCAAATACCACTTGTCGAGTCAAACAGTTAACCCCAATCACAGCACAGAATAAAAGCAGATGCATTACAATTTAAGATTCAACTAAAAAAAATTTAAGTAGGTACCCCTGGGTATCTCTCCCTTTGTACAAATTGTCGGACTGTCAGGTCCAAAGTTCCCACCACGCTGTTAAGTACTGTTCTTCTAACATTTTTCTCTTCCTTTTTGACCTGAAACATTTGAAGGCTGAGAAATATCCAATATAACTATAAGCTTTCGAAAAGAATAAATATCACATAACAATCATCTTATGTACATAATAGACATTCTCAAGTATGCTTATTACACTTTGAACATATATTTTGCGTAAAGTAGAACTAGTTAAGAAGATGTCAGCACTTGGAAGAAGCATTAGGCCACTTGGCCCAAAATGGTGAAGTTTAATTGCTCAAAGGAGTAAGAATCTTCTCATCAAAATTCAAAATGTAGGAAAAAAATTTAACTTTTTTATCTCATAGGTGGTATATCTGGTTCAAGGTTTAAACAGGAAATTTCATTTTGTAGTTTTCGTGTTACTTCCTAGCTGGAATTCATTGGCAACATCCAGCACAATCTAACCGTATTCATTCTCAGTGAACGAAGGAATTGCTCAAAGGAGCAGACCTAAGCGCTTTTGCAGTTTTTTAATCGGAAAATAGGTGTTAAGTTTAGAAGCAGACAAGCAGTTAACTCTTGTCCAAGAAGGAAATTTGTGAACACGTACCAAATAGCGATAGCCTGAAAAATGTTTCCTTTGCTTCAGATAATGTACTATAAGACCACTTAGGTATTTGACAGCTTAATATGAATGAAGAGGTCTCATCTAACGCAAAGGCGGCAGGAAAAGCTCAGTTGTTAGCTTGGTTTGTCAGTCTTTCGTATGAGGTACTTAATTTCTTCAGCCTATGAACCAGCACCCAAGTTCCCAACTTCTTTTCAGCTATTTGCACATAATAAATCAGAACCGCGACTAGCACTGGCTACAGAGAAATTAGAGACAAGTCCCAAAATTAAGAATAAAAATCTCCATCGCTACTTTATACCAATTAAAATTGAAGAAGCTTAGAATCTATGATATCGGCAACAGGCGAAAGATTGACAGGCTAGACGCAAATCAATACATTTGAAATCAATGCTAAAATGAAAGCCATTATGAAAGTTGGAATGCCATCTAAATCAACTATGACTAACCAGTAGCAACTTATACATAAGCAACACTAAGGAAGGATAAGGAAATTATCTAGAAGCCACTATACGTACCGCAACAAAACAAAAGCACTTCAAGCAATTTCCATCCTGACCAGAACATCTTCTCTTTAAAGCATAAAACTCCTGCACACAAATAGTGGAACAAAAGAAAAGCAAAGAAAATGAGGGTGCCAGGCAATACTAGCGGCAGAAAATAGAGCAACATGAGATGATCCATATTTATGCAAATGGAGAAGAACATACAGCAAAGGTGTTGCTATTTATATATATCAATATATGTCATTATCAAATGTTACATGTTTAATCAAATGCAAGGTCATAAACCACGTGAAACACCTTTTTACACATTAAAATTACCAACTTTTGTCCTAATAGCAATCCTAGAAAAAATATTTCATTTATTGGCATTGAAGCTCGATATCAAATGAGACCTGTCCCAAATGCTAAATATTATACTATTTGAATTTCGAAGTAGGCAAAGATCTGTTTTTCCTCTTTTCAAGTCTAAGTAAAATCACATAAACACTGAGCCAATACCGGAAACATGAATATGCAAGCTCACATGATCTTTACATGTGAATTTTGCCTAAAGCTTTTACAGAACCGGGCTTCTTCTAGCAGAGGATACAATTTCCATTTGCCGCCTAACAATTACTGAAACTTCAGCCTCACACAGCTGATACAAACCTCGAGTTGGCATGAGAAGAGTAGCTCTCAGAATAACAAACTGTTTATGATAAGGAGCTCTCACACTAAGAAATAGATATAATGCAGTGATCTATATATGTGTTTCATCGAGAAATATGTGAGGGCCCACTGAAATTATTACTAACTGGCCAACCTATAGATATTTATAAAGGTTATGATAGGACAGAGCATTGGAGCTACGCCATGAGACGGGGAAATTTTTTAAAACAACTAACTGTTAATGTTATTCTACTGAAGTCGCAGGAAAAAGGGGGAATTGTTTGATGGTAAAATTTAAACTTCAACCAAATAAAATTTTAACTGCTAACAAACAAAAAGTTTTATTTTACTGCAACTGACCTGTTCGGCATACTTTCTTTTATATGCGTCAACATGCCTAAAATTAGCAAAAATACAATTAATATTTACCATATAATAACTCAGGCTTACATCTACAAAACAATTTTAAACTAGTCCTAACTATATGAGGGACAGGTGATAAGAGCGAGCTCTAACCTCATATACGACACAGATTCCCAATGAGCTTCTGCACGTAACCAAGCTGCCGTCTACCATTGACAATAAGACAGAGAAACAAGAAAATACCAAATACTTTTAGGAAAAGTCACAAAGAAGAGCCATGACATTTTTATTTAGAAGATTATAGAAGCAGCGGAACAAACCCAATATTCTTCATCCAGCACGGCCTCACGAGCAATGAAACGACCAAAGTTCCGCTTTTGCAGTCCGCAGTACCCGTCATCAGTCTGCTGCAGCCGGTTAAAAGATAGCTCGGGTAACTTTGCATTGTCCTGCTTTGACAGGGGTGTCTGCCGGATACTTTGGTCATTATTGCAATGTACTTCAATATTTTTCCATCTATCATATGAAACGGGAAAAGCCTCCCTAGGAACAAATTGGATACCATCAGAGAAAAGAGAAAAGGCAGAAGTGAGATGATTTTTTAGATGCCGAAAAGAAATATAACTCAATAAATCTTTTGCCTTCCATTGGGTGAAGAACAAGATATCTTTAGAAGTTAAGCTTCTTTTCTTGGCATGTTCTTGACGACAACATTATCCCTAAAAACAAATCTAGAGATTTTCACATACATTACACAAATGTTCAATAACACGTCGAACTAGTATCAAGCTTTTTATACAAATGGTCCAGCGGCCAACCTTAATTATTCGGAAACATAAAAGCATTTAAAATAACTTCTTCGCTGCCACTCTGTTTGCAATCTGGTTAACCGGAAAAAAGGAACCAATTTTATTCACAACCAACCCTTTAAAAAATACCAAGTTTAAGAATACCATTAGCTTCACGTATATCCCACAAATTTGATTTGGGATTACATAAATCACAAACTAGTTTCCTTCGGCTATATATAAATTTTCTATGACTACACAACTCCATTGGACCCGTTTCATTCAGAATCACAAACAAAAGAACCAGCTTTATTTACAAGTTACCAATTAAAGAGATGCCAAATTTCAGAAAACCATTAGCTGCATATATATCCACCAATTAAATTTGGGTATTAAGTACAACAACAAACCCAGTGCAATCATACAAGTGGGGTCTGGACAGGGTAGCGTGTACGCAAACCTTACCTCTACCTTGAGAAGGTAGCAAGGTAGAGAGGTTATTTTCGGTAGACCATCGACACAGGAAAGACAAAAAGGAAGGAGCAACAATACCAGCAAACCAATTAGAAAACTGAAGTGAAAGAAACAACAAGTAATATCCGAAATCTAAGAATAAGAAAATACAAGACTGACACTAGTGCACTAAAACTACTGGTATGAACAAGGACAATGCTCACCTATTTGGGTATTGAGTAAATCACTAAATCTCGAACTAGTTGGAGTCAACTATATACATCTTCTATCTATTCCACTCCATGGCACCAACTTCATTTAGAATCACAACTAAAAATGCAACTTTATTTACATTCAAACCTTTTAAATAAATACCAAGTTTGAAAAAACCATCAACTTCATATACATCCACCAATTCAATTTGGTTATTAAGTAAATCCCTACATCTAATTCCATTCCACCCATTTCATTCAGAATCACAAAATTTTAAAAACAAGCTTTATTTAACACTCAACCTTTTAAAGAAATAACAAGTTCTAAAAAACTATCAGCTTCATATATATCCACCAATTCAATTCCTGATATTAAGCAAATCATAAACTAGTTCGGGTCAGCTATATGAATTCTCTATATCTATTCCACTCAATTCCACCAATTTCATTCAGAATCAAATAAAAAAAAATTTATTTAAGTAGATCACAAACTAATTTGGGCCCATTTTTATTTTTATTTTTAAAAAGGAAAATCATAGTACCTGCTAAAAATGTTGACAACAAAAAGGGGTTTATTTTTCCCTTGTTTAGAGAAAACCCAAGTGAATTGAGGCTGTTGAATCTTGAATTGAGGCAAGAATTTACTATTCAGCTCCATTTTTTTTGTTCTTTTCCTTTTTCTTGTCGAAAAAAAGGGAAAGATTCAAATTTTTTTCTTAAGATCCTAAGAAACAGGAGAAGAAAAAGAGTATAAAGGAAAAAAAGAGAGAGGGTCAACAGTACTATTCCAGCATTCCTTGTGTAGGTACTATCTATTTGTTCTCTCAAAAAAAGGGGGAAAAATTAGGGAAAGAGAGAGAAAAAATAATAAATAAATGGGATAAATATATATCCACTTTATCCACTTTCCTAATTTATGCAGGGTCTATGTAGGGCCCCACATAATGATATTTTAATGCAGCCAAAGTGGATTGATTTTTTGATACTCGGTGCGTTTCAATTTAGGCGAAGTAATTTGATTTGACACGGAATTTGAGAAAAAAAAAAAATACTTTTAGAATATATGGTCTTAAAAGCTTAAGGGGTAAAAGTTTTATGAAATCATCATATTTGCTCATTAAGATTATTTTTAAATATAAAAATATGTCATTTATTTTGGAACAAACTAAAAAGGAAAGTATCTCACCTAATTTGAAACAGAGGAAGTGATAATTTTAGTGGGCGTTTGGACATAAGAATTGTAAAATTTCGAAAAAAGTGAATTTTTTTTTCAAGTGAAAATGGTATTTGAGAATTAGAGTAGTGTTTGAACATGAATATAATTTTGGGTTGTTTTTGAATTTTTATGAGTGATGAGTGAAAATTTTGAAAAATAATTTTTCGGAGTTTTTCAAATTTTAGAAAAATTTCAAAATTTATTTTCAAGTAAAAATTAAAAATTTTATGATCAAATACTGATTTTTAAAAAAATTAAAAGCCAAATGGGCTCTAAAGTTGTATTTACAATCGAAGCGGAAAAGTACAAAATAACGACGGAATCAGAAATTTAAATAATTGAGAAAAACATAAAATAATCACATTTAAGATAACTTGCATCTATACTATATTAAAAGCACAAAGCTCCTTAGCGAAATATCATTTGCTTTTTTTATCCTTTAAAAATAATTTTTCACATTGAATAAAATCGTAATTAAATTGCTATCCTAATATTTAGGAATTTGAAATCTATTAAAATTTTGATTATTAAATTATTTCCTTATTTGAAGTCATAATCATTTTCAAGTCTTTGCCTTTTTTATTTTGTTAGAAATGATTTAATCACTATTAGAGTTCAACTTAAACAAAATAAAACTCTAGTTTTGTCCAAATCCAAATTAAACGTAAATTTTACATCTTTTTAGTCCGATTCTACCAAATTTATTGGCTATTCTGGTAAGCAAAAACGTAAAGAAGTTTTAAACACATTAGGAATCTTAGAAAAGTTTTTATTTTCAAGCTTTTCCTTTTCTTTATTTTGTTATAAGCAATTTAATCATTATTTGACTCAAACTCAAATAACAGGTAAATTTTGCACTCCATTTAGTTCTTCCGAATTTTAAACAATTATATTTTCTAAATTTTTGTTTCTAATGGACAAATTGTAATTTAATATTTTTAATATTTAAAACTTTTAAAATTAACTAAAGTTTGGTTAATAAATTTTTCGTTATTTGAATTGTGTTGAAAGTCCCAATTCTGTATTTAGAAATTCAAAATCGAGTATAATAAACATGGTTGTATAAAGTTCGCATTCATATATGATTTAAAATGGTATATGCAGAATTTAGTCATGCAATTTTAAACTTGTATTTGATATTCAACGTTTTGATAATGAACTAAGACAAAATATCGGTAATATATCAATTTTCAATTTAAAACAAGGAGTTAACTCTTTAATTTCAAGAATATTTTTTTTGAGAACTTATGTTTTTCCCAATATCTAGGAGATCAAAATCTAATAAATTTTGTAACATTAAATTCTTCCTTGTTGAACTATATATAAAAAGTCCTATTATATTATATCTATTGCGCAAAATCTTTTCCTTATTTTATGTAACACAATAATTTTATAAAGACAAATAATATCAAAAAATAAAAATAAAAACCGTGGAAAGAAGTAAAGAGTAGCTATTACTTGGTGTAGGTTTGAATTATTTTTTTGTTATAAAAGTATAACCAATTAAATATATATTAGTAAAAATAACAAATAAAATAGAAAAGACTAAGTAGTAAACTATAGCTAATGTTGACACTTCTTCAATCTTTGGTTATTCTTAATTGTAGATTTTAATCGGTCATAGAGTTAGTACTCATAAATTTTATATAATTTAATTATCAGAGTAAAGTATAAAAGAAACGTACAGAAAGACTTTTTTGTGAAAGGTATAAGCATATATATTATCATTTATCTATGAATTGTATGTACCAAATGTAAATATATCTATTCTAATAAATACTATAATTAGATATAAAATAATCCAATAGTTACGATTATTAAACTCTTTAGTTCAACCGCAAATTGAAGGAATATTTTCGAAATAACACATAACAATTACATGTCAGAAAACATAAGTTGATAAACATTCATATGATTTTCATAAAATGTATATTGATTGATATGTGTACACGTGCAAAACACGTATGATTTTTTATTTTTATCCTTTAAAAATTAATTTCACACTAGATATAATAGTAATATTTTAATATTTAAAACTTTAAAATTAACCATAATTTTAATTATTAAATATTTTCTTATTTGAACTACATACGAATTAAGTCTTACTATTTAAAACTTCAAAATTATTAAAATTTTCCTATTCCAAATAAAACATGTCGAAATCAAATTTAAGACAAACCAATAGGCAACAATTTCAAACTATATACTATTGGTACGTTTTTCTTTTTCTATTGTTCCTCTCTCAAATTATGTTTATTGCTTTGTGCATTTTAATTCTCCTTCTATTATTTCTTCCGCATAAAATATGAACAAAACTAAAAATTATTTATCGAAAAGAAAAGAGGGTTCTAGAAACCAAACCTCCCAAATAATAAACTTTTATACAACCAAAGATGTATCTAAAAACTATTAAAAGTTGTTGTTTACGTTAATACTTGTATGTTGAGTATCTCTACTGATGATAGACACCTTATGTGACATATAAAGTCAAAATATATTATTTACAAGAACTTAAACATTAATTTTTAATTTATATATAACTCAAACTTAATTTTGAACATAATAGTTACGTGATCTTTTAAAATTTTGACTTTATAGAGATTGGATGCACGCGCAACGCACGTAGCAAGAGACTAGTAAATAGAAAAAGTTGTTTTATCCTTTGTAATTTTTAATAAAGGGATTTAATTTACCTAAAGGTAATATGCCCTTTGGGGAAGGAAATAGTAAATATTGGATGTATACGAGTGTTAAATAAAAAAATAATTCAAAAAGACGTAACTACTAGAGTGAATTTAGAAATAAAAGAATTTATTTACCTTTAAATTGATAACTTTTGACGTTTTCGTCTCTCCCTCTATATGTTTATTTTTTCTAAGGAAATTAACAATTATGTCCATTTATAAGTAGCTTATTATAAAAATTAGTCAATTCACAAAATATTGTTAATATTAGCCAAATGTTACCAATATTAGCCAATTAGCTATTTGTAACCAAAACAAATTTATTTATTTTGCGTGAGTTCTATTAGAATAAATTGGGTACATCTTAAGGAGCTTGAATCTCAATTTTGGGATGATTTGGTAGAGTTTTGAGGTGGTTTGAATTAAAAATTCGAAATAGAAAATGAACATTAAAATAATTATATGTGTAGCACACTATATAGCACATATGTATCATATTTGTATTAAATGTGCATCACATGTATATCCATGTATACCTGTATGTGGGATACATGCGTGATACATGTGTCGTAGAAGATTTTTTTTAACTCGATTTTAATTACGAATTTTGATACCAAATCAGTCCAAATCACCTCTAATCTTCCTTAAATTTTGTAAATTGACTCAGTGTACCAAAAATACATTGTGTAGACAGGTAAAAAAAATTATATGTATATATACTATGTGTGTCCCCTTAATTTCCTGGTATATTTACTTTTATATATTTTGACACCCCTTAACGAAGATTCTGGCTCCGTCACTATATTGACTCATCTATCCAGTTTCAATGAATTTCAATCATACCCANATATATATATATATATATATTTTATCGTCTTATTTGCTACCTCATCCATAAAATTTCCTTACTGCCTTGCATCTAATGTTGTTGACCACGCTTAAAAATAAGGAAGGAGATCTTTGCGTGTAATTCTTCGAGAGAAAGAACCTTATTTATTTGAGTTTTCAATTTTTATATGTGCTTGACCAGTTTTAGTAAGTTTATAATCAGGGGCGTATCTAGAGTATAGTATATGGGTTCTCGGGAACCCGATAACTTTTGCATAGACTCTGTATTTTTATTAAAAACTTTACTAAACATCTGTAAATATCTAATTGTGAACCCAGTTACTATGGTATATTAATTTGAAATTGCGACAAAAACCCATAAACTTCAAATTCTGAATTCGCCTCTATTTATAATTAATGGCTAAAGGTTGGTACGTTGGAACTTATTTGGGACATTTATGTAATATTCCCTTTTTTCTATAGACCCCTTCTAGATTGTCAAAATCATTACCATCAAGCTATAAATTTTCAATGGTAACCAATGTGGTATTATTAATTAATAGTATGTTAGTAGTATAGACGGTCGAAATCGGGGCTACCCGATTTACAGGCTCGAAGGCGAGGGCGAGTTCGAGCTCGATGGACAAGACTCGAGCTCGGAGACAGAGTGCAACGCCCGGAGATAGGAGTACGAGGAATATTGAAGCCGAGTATGCTCGACCCCGAAATAGTACCGTTGTAGATTTGTAACAGAATGAGTTAGATTCCTGCCACGCCCCAAGATCATGACGCAAATCTCGGAATAGGATTGTACGATTCCGCATTAGGCGGTTAGACAGCTGTATCAAGAATATTCCTTACTGTAAATAGAAATATATCTTATTTAGGGTTCCCCTATTATATAAAAGGGACCCCAATCATTTGTAACATGATCGAATCATCGAGAAAAGAATACAGTCTCTACTTTTTGCCTATTATTCATCAGAATTATCCTTTAGCTCTACTATTCTTACTTTACTTTTCTTGCTTAATTGTTCTTATTGTTCCAAGCCCACCTCGAGGTCACTAAGCTCGTGGTAACCGCCTGTTGGGTAACATTGGTTTGATTCACTTGCCTTTTTC